AGTGGGAGAGCATCCTAGCATATGAGTTCCAGTTTAATGTTGGTTGGACAGAGCTTATGGAGGCTGCCCTTTGGGGTGCAGAGTGAAGTCGCTGATTAAATAATTCAACAAATTCTTCTGTTCCTTCAGTAGTTTGGAGACAGAAAATTGGGGGCACATTTCAAAGCCAATCAAGTAATATATACTTGTTGGGGATCTAACAGGACATTTTTGGCTATAATTGATAACTTAGAGAAATAAAAAAAAGCTAAGTTTTATCTTTATTTTGTTATCAATGAGAATTATTTACTATAAAAAAGCTGGTATAGAGTAAGATGTTAACATTTCCAATGTGTAAAGTTTTCTACTCTAAAGATTAAAATGGGCTGAGGGCCATGATGAGCTGATAGGCACAGGTCAGGAGAGACATACAAAGAATAATAATTCAGCATAATTAGGTAAAATGGAAAAGAATTAGGCTAGATTTTTCTCACAGGAAATATAATGAATTCCAGAATCATCTCAAAAATATAAACTCATTCAGTCACTCAACAAATATCTACCGGGACATACTGCCTGCCAGGAACTGTCTTAGATATTAGAGACAGAGAGTGAGCAAAATGAGCCCCTGGCCTCAGAGAGCTTATACTGCAAACAGAACCAAATAGGTCAATAATTTCATGCCATGGATAGCATAAATGCTACAAAAAGAAGGAGAGCAGTGTAAGGGGATGAAAAGTGATAAGGCTGCTATTTTAGATAGAATTGTCAGAGAAAGCATCCCTGAGGAGGTAACAGTTCAGAAAAAAACTTCAATGAAAGTAGGAAATGGACCATGCAAATATCTGGGAGAAAGTGTTTCTGGCAGAGGGAATAGCAAGTACAAGCCCTTAAGACCGGCGTGTGCTTCATGTAGTTAAAAACAGAAAGCAGCCCTGTGAGCTCAAGCGGAGTGAGCAAAGCAGAAGAACAAGGGGAAGTAGCATCAGAGAGGCAGTCGGAGGTCGGATCCCACAGGCTTTGTAGCCAAGGTGAGATCTTTAGATTTTATCTGAAGTGAGATGGGAAACCATTGGAGGGTTTTGAGTTTAGGAACTGGCTGCTGCCGTGTGGAGACAGACTAAATGGGAACACGGGGTAGAAAGGAAGTAAGAATCTGTTGCAAGAGTCTAGGCAAGAGAAAATGGTGGATTGGACTAGGGTATCAGCAGTGGCGGTAGTGAGAAGTGATAATATTTGTACAATTTGGAAGACAGAGTAAAAAAGTATATTTTATCTTGCAATGTTTTTGTATAGATTAAAAATAATAGGGGCCAGCCTGGTGGTGCAGCGGTTTAGTTGATACGTTCTGCTTTGGTGGCCCGGGGTTTACTGGTTCAGATCCCGGATGTGGACTTATGCACCGCTTGTCAAGCTGTGCTGTGGTGGGCGTGCCACATATAAAGTGGAGGAAGATGGGCACAGATGTTAGCTCAGGGCCAGTCTTCCTCAGCAAAAAGAGGAGGATTGGTGGCAGATGTTAGCTCAGGGCTAATCTTCCTCAAAAAAAAAGAAAAAAAATAGCAGCGTAGCTACAGTTGAAGGAACACCTATTTATACCAGGCACCTTACTTATATTGTCTCATGTTACTTTCAATGACTCTGATATAGGCACTGTTAATATCAGAATACAGGAGCAAACTGAGGAACAGAGGAGTCAGCTGATTTAGCCACCAGCTACATCTAGTAAGTGGCAGAAGTAGGATACAAAGCCACATCTATCTGGCTCAAGAGCCCACTCTTTCCACTATATCATCTCATATCCAAGATTGAACAAGGTGCAAAAACCAAAGTTCACAACAATGATTGTGAACCCATCAGAATGGATAACAGAAAGCTAATAATTGTATCAACTATTTTTTCAGGAAACATGCAATGTTTGACTAAGGATAAATCTTGGTTTACTAAAGTTTACTTTAATAAAATAATATACCTAAGTATATATGATTACTGAAAGTTTTTCACTTCTTTTAAACCCCGAAAAGATAAATGATCCAATTGATAAAAATAAAATCAGTATATAAAAACACAGAGACAAAAATTTATTCTAAAGAGGTAATCAGAGATGTTCACATATATTTATTTATGAAATGTTCATTCCAGTATTTATAATAGTGAAAGAAATGAAAGCATCTGAAAGCTTAATCAAAGAAGAGATATTGAATTTATTGTGTATGATGGAATACAATACGTCCCTGGGAAATTGGGTCCTAATTTTTTTCGTTATTTTTAAATTCTGTTAAAATATACGTAATATTTATCATTTTAACCATTTGTAAATGTACAGTTCAGTGACATTAAATATATTCTCAACATATATAACCATCACCCATATCTATACCCAAAACTTTTTTGTCATCTTTAACATAAATTCTGTACCCATTAAACAATAACTCTTCTATTCTGCTCTCTGTCTCTATGAATTTGCCTGTTCTAGACATGTGATAAAAGTGGAATCATACAATATTTGTTCTTCTGTGCCTGGCTTATTTCACTTAGCATAAAGTTTTCAGGGTCCGTTTATGTTTACTATATATTAAAATTTCATTCTTTTTTTTTTTAAGGAAGATTAGCCCTGAGCTAACATCTGCCACCAATCTTCCTCTTTTATTTTGCTAAGGAAGACAGGCCCTGAGCTAACATCCATGCCCGTCTTCCTCCAGTTTATATGTGGGATGCCTGCCACAGCATGGCTTGACAAGCGCTGCATAGGTCCACACCCGGGATCCAAACCAGCAAACCGTGGGCCACTGAAGCGCAATGTGAGAACTTGACCACTGCGCCACCAGGCCCGCCCGCTCATTCCTTCGTATGACTGAATAATAGTCCATTGTATGTATATACCACAGTTGGTTTATCCTTTCATTGGTTGATGGACACTTGGGTTGTTTGGACTATTGTGAATAATGATGCTATGAACATTTGTGTACAAATATCTGTTTGAGTCCCTACTTTCAATTCTTTTGCATATATACCCAGGAGTAGAGTTGTTGGGTCATACGGTAGTTTTCCGTTTAACTTTTTGAGGAACAAGCACACTGTTTCTGACAGTAACTGCACCATTCTACATTCCCACCAGCAATGCATGAGGGTTCCAACTTCTACACATCCTCACTAACATGTTATTTTCCATTTTCTTTTTTATAGCTATCCTGATGAGTGAAAAGTGGTACCTCATTGTGCTTTTGTTTTGCATTTCCCTAAGACTAATAATCTTGAGCATCTTTTCATGTCCTCATTAACCATTTGTATGTCTTCTTTGGAGCAAAGTCTATTCAAGTCCTTTGCCATTTTTAAATTAGGTTGTTTTGGGGATGGTGGTTCTTGTTGTTGTTAAGTTGTAGTTCTTTATATATTTTGGATATTAATTCTCTATGATATATATGATTTTCAAATATTTTCTTCTATTCTATAGGTTGTCTTTTTGCTTTCTTGATAGTGTCCTTTGATGACACCTTCTTAATGTTGACAAAGTACAATTTATTTTTTCTTTTATTGCCTGTACTTTTGGTGTCATATTATGAAATACTTGCCAAATCCAATGACATGAACAATTTTTTTGACATTTTCTTCTAAGAGTTTTATAGTTTTACCTCTTAAGTTTAGGTCTTTGATACATTTTGAGTTAATTTTGTGCATAATATAAGGTAGGGACCACTTCATTCTTTTTCATGTAGATATACAATTTTCCCAAAACTATTTGTTGAAAACATTGTCCTTTCCCCCACTGAATGGGCTTGGCACCTTTGTTGAAAATCAATTAATCATATATGTGAAAATTTATTTCCGAGGTCTCTATTCTATTTCATTGGTTTACATGTCTGTCCTTATGCCAGTACCATACTTTTTTAATTACTGTAGCTTTGTAGTAAGTTTCAAAGTCAGGAAGTATGAATCCTCTAAATTTATTTTTTTTCCAGATTGTTTTGGCTATTCAGGGCTCCTTGTAATTCCATATGAATTTGAGGAGTGGCTTTTCGGTTTCTGTGGGAAAAGGATACTGGAATATTAATAGGGATTGTGTGGAATCTGTAGATCACTTTGGCTATATTGACATCTTAACAAGGTTAAGTCTTTTTATCCATGAATGTAGGATGTCTTTCCCTTTAGTTATAACTTCTTTAATGTCTTTCAGCAATATTTTGTACTTTTCAGTATACAAGTCTTTCACCTCCTTAGTAAGATTTATTCTAAGTACTTGATCCTTTTAGATGTTACTGTAAATGGAATTGATTTCTTAACTTCCTTTTTGGGTTGTTCATTGCTAGTGTGTAGAAACACAACTGACTTTTGCACATATAACTTTGCTGAATTTGTTTATGAGCTCTAGTAATATTCCTGTGGATTTGGTATCTACTATACGTAGGATTTATGTATATGTAGGATCATATCATCTATGAATAGAGACAGTTTTACCTCTTCCTTTCCAATGTGAGAAACTGTGCTCCTAGTATTTTAAAACTATAAATAGAGATCAAGATTTACACAACTGGAAAAAAAAAAAAGCTGCAATGGAGAACACTGAAAGGTAGCGCTGATTCTGATTCTGCAGGTGATTGAATTCTTCTTTACATCTTTCTACATTTTCTTAATTTTTTGCAATGAAATTTTATTTCTTAGAAAAAAATAAGATGCTTACCAAACCCGGCAATGATAGGAGATAGATATTACCAAGACGGTGAAAAATGTGCTCAGATGAATGTAGGGAATAGTGGCTTATTGTTAGTTTTAACCAAGTCTACATTTATTTTCACCCACCAGCAGCCATGCAAATTTGTGTGAGGTCCCCAGGCCTGAATTGGCTAGATTTGTTGAGTGAGAAGTTGTAGTTTCTCTGAAGACACTCCTGAACACCCCTCTCCACAGTCCAGGCTGTTCTATATCCAACATTATCTGACATGGCCCAGAAAGTATACAAAGCCATTCGGGGTGCTCTCTATACATTCTCACTATGGCTTATTTTTTCTCATTGTTTTGTAGCTATGACACTATTTGAAATGAACAATCAAACAGAGGTCACTGAATTCATCTTCTTGGGATTTTCCAACCACCCCAAACTACAGGGCTTGCTCTTCCTGATCTTCCTGGTCATTTACCCGACAACTCTCCTGGGGAACACTCTTATTATAATGGCCACCAGGATCGGTCCTGCTCTCCACACTCCAATGTATTATTTCCTCAGCAACCTGAGTTTCTTGGATGTCTGCTACACATCCACCACCATTCCAGTCTTGCTGATGAACTTCTTCCTGGAGAAGAAAACCATCTCATATGAGGGCTGCCTCTCCCAGATTTTCTTCCTTGTGACATGTGCTGGCACTGAGGGTGTCTTATTGGCTGCTATGGCTTATGACCGCTATTTAGCCATTTGCCACCCTTGTCAATATTCAGTCCTCATGAGTGTGAAGGTCTGTGCTTTTTTGGTGACTGGGTCTTGGCTATGTGGCCTGGTGAATTCTGTGACACACACAGTACTGGCAGCCACACTCACTCTGTGTGGGCCCAACCAGATCAGCCACTTTCTCTGTGACATCCCACTGCTCCTGAAGCTCTCCTGCTCAGACACCTCTCTCAATGAGTCTGTGCTCCATGTGGCCAGTGCCACCATTGGCCTGAGCCCCTGTCTGTTTACTGCAGTGTCCTACATACTCATCATCTCTACCATCCTTAGGATTCCCTCTGCTCAGGGCAGGAGCAAGGCCTTCTCTACCTGTGCATCCCACCTCACCGTGGTGGTGGTCTTTTATGGAATGGCCAACTTCAACTATGACAGACCCAGAGAAGGCTACAACCTGGATGTGGACATCCTGGTCTCTGTGCTGTTCTGTTTTATGACCCCCATGTTAAACCCCATCATCTATAGCCTGAGAAACAAAGAGGTCAAGGGTGCCCTGAGGAAGCTGAGTGGAAGGTGGGTGTTCCCTGCCAATATTTGTGTCTAGATCAATGGTCTTAAAACTGTGGTGGGTGGGCCGGCCGAGTGGCATAGCGGTTAAGTGCGTGCATTCCACTTCTCGGTGGCCCAGGGTTCACCAGTCTGGATCCCGGGTGCCAACATGGCACCGTTTGGCAAAAAGCCATGCTGTGGTAGGCGTCCCATGCATAAAATAGAGGCAGATGGGCATGGATGTTAGCTCAGGGCCCGTCTTCCTCAGCAAAAACAGGAAGATTGGCAGTAGTTAGCTCAGGGCTAATCTTCCTCAAAAAAACCCCCAAAAAACAAACAAAAAAAAAACTGTGGTAGGCAACCACTGAAAAAACTTCCAAGGTATTTGTAACATACACTGTTTTAGAAAGAATATTCAGATCCTCAATTCCTACGTATCAGTTCCTAAAATTGATCTTCCCAGGAACTTCGTTTCTCTCCTCCCTTTCCACAAGTACTCTCTTCCCACTTTGCAAAGTCAAGATGTGTCAGATATTTTGTGTTGGTTCTCAGCACCATCTCAATCCTTCTAAGTTCTCCCCACATTACAGGGACTGAAAGCCTGGAAACCTCATTTCCCAGGCTCACTTGCCAGCATTGTTCTATTTCAGATTCTGCCAATGTAAGAGTCATACATGAGAGATTAGAAGAAAAAGAAATAAAGAAGAAATTGTCTTCTTTTGGATCTGGTAGCAGTGGCAGAAACAGACTCCTGTGGTGGCGTTAGCTGATGTTTACAGTCTCCCTTAACAGCAGTTCTTGAAATATAAGGTCACGCAAGTATGGAATGCGTGTCTCTCTATAAGGAGGGTAGAGGCTTCCACGAAGAGGGTAATATTACCTGCCTTCCCCCTTTCTTTTTTGCTCTTCCAACAATTTTATCACTTATTTTCTGTGTTAAATTCCTCTAGGTTGAAATATCTAAAGTAGTTTTTATTTCCTCTGTAAGCACTAACTGCTGCGGCATTTTATATCAGGAGTGGCTCTAGGAAACAGACGCACAGAGGTGGAAGTCTGGGATTGGATATCTGATGTGTGCAGTTTGAATGTATTGATGATAGCATAGTCAATGGAAAATGGGGAATCTGACCATCCATGGTGTGCAGTAACAAAACAGATGCTTAAAATTATCAACAGTCATTATCTGAAATAAAATGTCTTGAAAACTAGGCTCTGGAATGCCAAAATACTGCTGCAACTGACCTTTATGGTGGGAATGAAGACGACAAGATGGTTTACTAAGTGCTATTACTGATTGCAGTGGGAAGCTTATAGGAAGAAAATGACAGACTTAGGCATTAAATTCCCCTCTCAAGCCAAGGTCAAACAAGCAGAAAATATTTTGTTTCTCAAAACTGATGAAGCTTAATATCAGAACGAAAGTCTGATTTTGTGGGCTGCATAAGCACAAAGTAAACTGTAATTCCACAATTTCTCCAGGTCTCTTATGTACCACTTAGGGCCTTGACTTGGGAATGAGTGGGACTCTGATACTTAAAATGGGAAAATACAGTGGATTTGGACAAATCTTAGAACCCTGGACTACTATGACCAATAGTAGAAGTTAATGGAAGACTACAGTAGCCCAAGAAAGGGAGGACTATAAGAGCTCATACCTCTTAGAACTAAAGGTTTGTGTCACTTCTTTAACTGAGGCAGTAAATGAAAGGAAAGAGAACAAAGAATGAATAGAAGAAGAAGGAAGCTATAAATATCAACCATGGCCTCACGACATAACAGATATGGGGTCTCCAGCAGCCATGCATAATTGCTTCCTTTTTTTGCTCTCTATATGTGTATATACTAACTAGGTATTTTTCCCTTCTCTTTTTCTTGGTGTTCTTTATAAAGAATGTTGATGCATGATTAATTTCATTATTTAGCCTGTTGTGATGGCTAATTTTATGTGTCAACTTGACTGGGGCATGGGGTACCCAGATATTTGGTCAAACATTATTCTGGGTGTTTCTGTGAGGACGTTTTTGGATGAGATTAGTATTTAAATCAGTAGACTGAGTAAAGCAGTTTGGGTGAGCCTCATTCAGTCAGCTGAAGGCCTCAACTAACCAGTTGTTCTATCAGTTAGAACAAAAAGACTGACCCTCCGCTGAGTAAGAGACAATTTTTCCTGCTAGAGGACTTTTGAATGGGGACATCAGGGGCTTTATTCCCTGCCATGGAACTGAAACATCAGCTCTTCCTGGGTCTCAAGCCTGCTGACCTTCACACTGGCACCTTACCATTGGCTCTCCTGGTTCTCAGGACTTCAGACTCAGACTGGAACTAAACCACCAGCTCTTCTGGATTTCCACCTTGCTGACTCACTCTGCAGATCTTGGGACTCGCCAATCTTTATAATTGCATGAGCCTATTCCTCATAGCAAATCTTTCTATGTATACAACCTATTGGTGCTCTTTCTCTGAAGAACTCTAACACAAATTTGGTACTAAGAGTGGTTCTAGAGGAACAGAATTTTAAGAATGAATTTTCTGAATTGGTTCTGGGGTTCCTGGAGTTGGCTCTCTAATTTGATTAGATTCAAAGATGCTAATGACTCTGTTTCTAGCAGTGAAAAGAGCACTGATAGTCTATGACAAGATCCTAATCAACCACTTATAAGAAACAAGGATCTAGATAACTGTGCATATGATACTTTCAAACATTTTTGGTAAGCTAATGAGTATAATAAGATTGGCTGGTTGCTCCTAACGTCACTGGACCAAGTGGGAAAAGAAAAGGATGAGCTCAGGGATTCAAATTTCCAGCTCAAGTACTACATAAATAACCTCAAAGTGTCTATGTATGCCCTGAAGGAGACCCTAATCTGCTGTAGCCCCAGGGCTGAGAGCTTGCTCCCAGAATCTCATCCTGTGACTGGCTGAATTACAATGCAAGTTAACTCTCAGTCTCACAGGGTATCTACTTTTAAAGTGAGGGCGTTGATTGGGAAGGAATGGGATCCTGAGAGTTGGAATGGGGATGTGTGGGAAGATCCTAATGAAGATGGGGACTCTGAATCTCTGAATTCTGATAAGTCTTCTCTGCCAGTGGAGGCAGCCTCTCAAGCCCTAGTGGAAGCGACCTCACCATCCGTTGTAGGGGTTTAACTCTGAATTGCCTGAGGAAACTGTAACAGCCTCCCATGAGGCAGTTACCTCGCAAGACAATGCTAATTCTCCTCAGGACCCACCCCCACCACCCCTTTTTGCTTCTAGAGCTATAATTAAACTCAAGTCCCAGCAGGCCCCTAAAGGTGAGGTACAAAGTGAGACTCATATGGAGGTGCACTATGTTCTAAAAGAACTACTTGAGCTTTCTACTTTATATAGACAGAAATCTGGGCAACATGTGTAGAAATGGAAACTAAGGGTGTAGGATAAGAGTGGAAGGACTATAAATAGGATCAGGTCAGGGGGCCGGCCTAGTGGAGCAGTGGTTAAGTTCACACGCGCTGCTTTGCCAGTTCAGATCCAGGGCATGGATCTAAGCACCGCTTATCAAGCCATGCTGTGGCAGGCGTACCACATATAAAGTAGAGGAAGATGGGCACAGACGTTAGCTCAGGGCCAGTCTTCCTCAGCAAAAAGAGGAGGTTTGGCGGTAGATGTTAGCTCAGGGCTAATCTTCCTCAAAGGAAAAGAAAGTGGATCAGGCCACATTTATTGATATGGGCTCAGTGAACAGGGATTCTGCATTTACTGATGCAGCATGAGTGGTTAGAAAGACCCTACCAGTTTGTTTGGTTGCCTGGTTCAAACGTGGACCAAAATGTAGCCTACAGTGAGCGAGTTGGAAATGCCTTGGTTTAATGTAGAGGAAGGGATTCAAGGTCTTGGGGAGATTGGAGTGCTAGAGGGAATTTGTTGTTTAGGACTTACTCATAGGATCCAGAAGGTTCACCTTTCTCACATGACTGTGAGAAACACATTTGTGAAGGTGATGTGGATTAAGGCTGCCCCAGCCAGAGAAGCCCAAGGTGACCTGGCCTACATGCCAAACTATATGACCCAGTGGACTTTTTTTATGGTGTGAATTAGGGCTGCCCCAGGGAGAGAAGCCCAGGGCATCCTCACCTAGATACCGATCTATATGGCCAGATTCGTATCTAAAGTTATATGACCGCACAATAACCAGACCCCATCTGCACTGAAATCATTTAATGACTTTTTACATCATCTTTTCTTTTCTCCAGTAAAAATAAGTCACGTACCCATGCCTTATAAAATTAGCCCTAACCCTCAACTCGGGGCAGCAGCAGGAGCTCTGACTGCCCGTGGGTCTTGTCCCCACACACCAGCTCTGCCTGCCCATGGGTCCTGTCCCCATGCCAGCGGGGGCAGCAGCAGGAGCTCTGACTGCCTGTGGGTCTTGTCCCCACACACTAGCTCTGCCTGCCCATGGGACCTGTCCCCATGCCAGCGGGGGCAGCAGCAGGAGCTCTGACTGCCTGTGGGTCTTGTCCCCACACACTAGCTCTGCCTGCCCATGGGACCTGTCCCCATGCCAGCGGGGGCAGCAGCAGGAGCTCTGACTGCCCGTGGGTCTTGTCCCCACACACCAGCTCTGCCTGCCCATGGGTCCTGTCCCCATGCCAGCGGGGGCAGCAGCAGTGGCAGCAGCAGGAGCTCTGCCTGCCCATGGGTCCTGTCCCCATGCTATTCCACACTATTCTCTAAATAAAAGAGCACTACTGCCAGATCTTGAGAGTCTAAGAAATCTTTCTTTCGACTCCTCGGCTCACCGACCCCGCATCATTTCTGGTGGCCCGTACGGGGATTGCTTCATCGGCTTGTGAGCTCGAGTTCTGGTAAGTGCCCTTTTCTTCCTTGTGCCTTTCTCTTTTTCAAGGATGGATCTAAATTCACTTCTCCATCGGGAACTTTCTTGGATGGCTGTATGAATCCACGTTTGCTGCCCATGGCTACTCTATGGGGCAAATTGTGGCATTCAGCCTGAAGAGAATCAGTACCTTAAGCCTGAGGGTGATGGAAAATGAATTAATCCATTCCTTCCTG